TTGCAACCGCAAATCCTGCTAACAACTCCCCCCAAATTCAATGGTCCATCATTTTCTCCATTATTCCTCTCTCGATTACCAAAATTATTCCATTCTCGTTGATCCTTTTAATCGAACAAAAGCATAATCGAGTAAAGAATTTAATTAGGATTGCAATACCATATTCTGATCTCAATTTGTGCTCCCTTCCAAAACTCTCGCAAAGTTTCTCCTTGCTTTAGTTCTGAAAGAGATTGCTTCTCTCAGAAGTCGTTAAGGTTTCACTTTCGTAATTTAAAACCCGACAACAAGAAAAGGCCTCGTCGAAATAAACATTCGAATCCACACCACCCCTGACACAACCATCTTCTCCAACTCCTTTGCCAAAAATTTTCCCACATCATCTCCATAAACATCAATAATAGAATGCAGAACTACTGAAGTCTAATCCCCTTCTTCACCCCCCACCGCAAAAGTCACTCCTATCATCATTGCTAATTCTTACTCATCAATCCGCCTTCCTCGAATTTCGTCACTCGTTAGTTAAAATTTAATTCGATTGGCAGAGCACTATGGCGCCAGTCCTCCTGATCCTAGCAGATCACCGTCTGTACTCAATCTCTTCTAGCAATTCGCGAGGATGCTAAATCTAATCCGCCCAAGTACCTTCTTCCTCTGCCTTCCTCAAAGGTGATCCGAAGACCTCTTCTGCCGACGTGGACCTAACTATTATGAACTTCGAGCTCGCTCATTCACGATCATTCCGATTCCTTACTCCGTTCTCGTCACCACCTTCGTGACTTACCTCTACTTTGACCTCAAATTCTTTCCGCGGTATCGATTGCTTCACTCAAGCGATCAACCTTACGCGCAAAAGCGTTCCAAGCGCATAACGAGCGTTCCGCCCAAAATACTCCCAACCTCGTGCGCACAACAAAACCAAGTCTTCCAAGAGCCTTCGCATGCCGACGAATGGTCAGTTCACCTGAAGCACTATTTCGCTCCATCAGCGCCTTCGCCCACCTCAAAGAATAAGGCTGAAAGCCTGAAAGAGTATTTTTACCGCTTACCGGCCCTATATTTCAACCTCTATTTTGAGTCCTCGATTGATAACCTTTGATCTATGGGTAGGATGGACGACCCGATTCAACCCTAATCCTACTACTTGGAAAAATCTAATTCACTCAGAGCTTGCTTACATGAAGCCTCCTTCGGTCGAAACTCGGTTGGCGTTACCACCAGCCGAAGTTTTCACCGCTCGAATCTGAGAGGCCGTCTACCACAACTCTCATACTCTAAATAGTAAATTGAACTAAATTCCTGCCTTCCTCCGAACTCTCTTACCCTGCTATGAGTACCTCAATCCCGATGCATGAATAATTCTCATTTTTCAATTTTATTTATTCCAGTTGCAAGGTTTGTCAACCGGAAAAACCTCCAAGAGTAACTCACAGCTTGTCACTCACCTTGCAGGAACGTGCATCTCGGCTTGGCATGCGCAACAAGCGGCGAAGCAGAAAAGCAAAGTGTGATGACTCGGAGTACTCTAAGCTACTACCCATATATAGCAAAGAGTACTTAACATGGAGTAGCACCATCTGAGATAGCCCCAATCCTGGGCCCCATCCAGGAACCCAGGTGAGGTTCCAACCCTGATCTGCAGGCTGAAGAGCCGATTGCCGCCCCAACCTCACGACCAATCCGAATCTCTGCCCTACGCCTCTAAAGCTTTCTTTCAGATATATGAGCCACCAGAGGAACAGACCCATAAGTCCTCATTTCTAGCCTACTGATGGGTTTGTTCCTCTGGAGGCTCATATATTTGAAAGAAAGCTGTGGATGGTTAGTCAGTCGTCAGGTAGACTCCGTCGTAGTTTTCTTTTCTTTTTTTTCTACATCTATTCGGGCCACCCATGATCTAACGGCCTCAGGTAAAGAGCTGACTCTTTTTTTTCCTTACATCTGGGCTGTCACACAACTCAACCAAAACAAAACCACCACTAGTGGAACTTGGCCCCTGGGGCCAGGGCCAAGTCCCACTAGCACGAGTTTGGTTTCAATTCCTGTACAGGTGCAGCACGGTGCGCCGGGGGCGGCACCGTGTGACACCATTTCAAAACTTTTTTTAGGAATTCTGAAAACGGTGTAGAGGGTCCTGCAATGATGACAATTTGCCAGGAGTTTCGGGAGTGCCCATCGTTGGGCTTGCTCCACCTCACCAAATGTGGAAAATAGAATGTATTTTCCACCTGTACATGGGAAAATACATCGCCATAGTTTTTGCCTCTTGTATGCGTGTGCACACACACACACACACACACACACACACACACACAGAGAGAGAGAGAGAGAGAGAGAGAGAGAGAGAGAGA